CTTTATTACTTTTTTCAACAGGTACATGTCGGGAACGTGTTTGACCGAACAGTTACAAGCGCTGTATATTTTCCTGTCCGCATCCAGCAGGCAAGTATGAACACTTCGTCTCGCATTCATTAGACATGTGTTAGTCGTTTACCTGTCTTTAGCCGTAGTTCATGCTTCACTGTGTTGTTTCTTTTTTATAATGGACAAAGACCTGACCTATAATTGTGAAATCTAATTTTTCTAACCATATCCTATTATTCTGCACCTCCTGATTCACTTTCCAAATTTGCCCTTTATGTTCCATTTCTAGTCACACATTTTTGCTGGAATTTCTTGAACACGGCGGTGTTCTGTGTCTGCAGGAACTATGCGTTTCTCCACACGGCAAGGAAATAGACAAACGCTGGGCACTGCAAGTTCTGTCCTGTGTGGCGAATGCGGGAACTAGATACAAGGAGACAATTTGCGAGTGCTATGGTACGCGTCACATCCTGAACTGTTTCTAGTACGGTTTTCTCTCCTCTCACAATCCGTCTGCTTTGCTCGCATTCCAACCAGTCTCCTCTTGTTCTCAGTTGCCTATCACCCTTCGCATTTTTTTCGCGATCGTCAAATTTTTGCTTTTGTGAATGGCAATGCAAGTGTTAAGGTTTTGGGACCCCTTAGTGCATATCATTGGGTAAGGACCCGTTTGTTCCACATATTCTACTGGTCAGTGAAATTCATAAAACCGCTGTTCTGAATTTCGTTGCAACAGGTTCTCTGTTCTAGAATCAATTTGAGGTGAGCGATTGCATGTGGTATTCTCAAATTTTGTACTGTTCACACATGTGATCTTGTATGACTTGCAGAACCTTTTTGGAAATGAAAAAATACTGTTCCATTTGGACAGCATGAGGCTGCTTGAGAACGTGCACTTTATATCGGCCACGATGATCATCTTTCGTTGCTCTCCATTGTGATTTCATCGTCTGTCATTGTGAATTTTTTCTTTGTTTTCACCCATGCATGACAAATCCTGGGGCTTCTGAACAAGGCGTTTGTTGAATGCTCATAGATGTAATTTTTTGATTGTAATTTTGTATTCCAACCTTGAATATCATCATCCTAAATGATTACTGTCAATGGAATTTGTTGTATTGATTGCTTGGCCTGGGAATCAACCAGTTCCCACACGCCCTGATTCAACCGCTCGTTCATCGCAACCACAGGTAATTTATCCATCTGTTGAATTTTGATATACTTCTCTCATTCTATCTCAGGAATAAGCTGCCACGAAACGTACCCAGACCCGAATACTGTTTGCAAGCCTAATGCTGAAAATTTGATCTAAAAGGATGACAACATAAAGCCATTTTTGTAAAAAAAAATCAGAAATACCGCTTGCACCGCACTACAATCTGTGCTAGACCGAATGCAATTCAGGGATTACATCGACAGTCATGACCGTTCCAAATAAGGGGCACTCGATTTTGCATTATGCATCGAAATGTCTCGTTTTGTCCTTATTCATTAGCATTATTCTTATTCCATTTTTTATATTATTTACGTGGTCATATCATTTGTCATGAATGTTTGCACCAGATAGTCTTTCCAAATTTTCCCAATTATGCCTTCATATTATCTTCGGTACTACCCCACTCTCCTGTTTTAGGTATTCGTGCTGTCGCTGAATGTATGGCTAAATCTACTTCTGAAGAGACACAGGAAGCGGCACGTAATTTACTGGAAATTTTGGCTGAAGGCAATCCCCGTTTTGCTGATCAGGTTTACAAGGGTCTGATTGGTGTGTTGCCGTGCCACTCGCCAAAGGCGCAACAACTTGCTTTGCAAACCATTCGTGTGTTACAGGTGAGCGCATCACCGTGCTTACTTGCTTGTAGGGCCATACAGCTGCCTTGTGATGCAGTGTGATGGCAGTGGGCATATTTCGCTTTTTATTTCCAAATGTTTATGTGAATGCGAAAATTTTTTCCGATACCTCGATGATCATTCACAACATGTTCTTACAAATCGTGGGTAAATTGGGCACAACTAGCAGTTTAAAGACTTCCGGAAATTCCACCAGAAATGTATTCTAAATCACCGGTTCACAGTTACTTCCTCTCACGTGTGCGCTACACTTACTCACTTACTCGATTATCTAACAAATGTTTTTTGTTCGTTTACTGTCTTGTGTATTCTTCCCTCTCTCGTATATCGATTGGAACTGATTGTTTTCCTCTCATCAGGAGCAATCAGACACACAGTCAAAATGGAACACCCCAAATTATGGCGTTTTTATTTGCTTATCGCCTACCCCCTCCCCACTGTCATCACCATTTTCAACTTCTGCCTTCCCGGGATTTTTCGGTGTCTCTGTGTGTGTCAAAACAAAGCTTTTAGACAATTTTCTCCCTTTTAAGTATTACTCTACTCGTAGTCGATTATGTTGTTGTTTCCGTTTCGTTTGTCCCATTGTGTTTCCATTCCGCACGTTTCTGACTGCCTGTCCGTCCATCTCTCCGTCTGTCTTTTTTGTCTATCCTATTTCTTTTTTTGTGTGTCTGTACTTAGATGAGTTGCGAAATCTGTTTGTCTCGGTACCGAATGTTTCAGTTTGTTGTACTTTCTTGCCCTATGGTTTCTATCCAATATTGATATCGGTAGTGTAGTGATCTGAACGACTAACTCAACCCAACTGAATACGTTGTTGTTGTTTGTTTATTGCTTTTGCGGTGTATATACGTGCGCACACATGGTGTATCGCGTATACGGTACTCAATGCAACAAGCGTATTTCTTCCTTGAATGAACGTGGAAAAAGTCACATGCATTGGCACAGCCTATCCCTTTGTCACTGAGCGGCAAATAATCTCTCTTGACATACATATATGTATGCTTTTAATAGAAAAATAGCAATTTCTCATTGATTCTGTATCAGTTCAAAAGTCGAGCTTATTTCAGGTTCTCTTGTGAGATATTGTGTGTTTTGATTTACTGTGTTCTGGCACTTGGTCTGATTCGCGGTTGAGTTTTTGATATGTACGAAGTGGAGCGTGGAGGTTGTTTTTAATGAGAGAACTTCCCCTTGAGAATAGCCGTATTTTTGCAGTGTACATGTGCTACTACCGCTTTTTTCAAGGGAACACGTTCGAAGTCTAATTGATCGCTGAAGATGTGGTGCTGTCCGAACGACTATTCGGATCGCGCACCGAGGACGGCGGTTGTTGTCGCAGAACATGTGCTTTGTCACACACACACACAGTCTGCTCAGGATTAATAAAGGGACTGTACTGCTGCAACATCCTGATCTGTTTCACCTAATACAGTTGAATAATTAGGAACTTTTATCGAACAGCCTTCACCCGAATGCAGTTGAAATTGTGACCCTCTCGAGTCTTGTCTAAATAAAGTGTACACAGAGCATAAGAGCATTTTGCGGATCAAACTAAGCATGGATAAGTGGTGGTGGCGCGATGGTTTAGTCGATTTCACCGGTGTGCTTTAGACCCCATGGTCCGAGGTTCGAGCCCCGCCACCCGACTTTGGTGGTAGATCGCTTTGCTGTCGTCCGGTTCGATACCATGTCTAACCTATCGGGGTCTTATATGGTTCGCCACTCCAAGTCCCGGGACTTAGGTTGCCGGTTTCCATCACTGAACAGCAGATCTTCGTGACTATGAGATCCGCCTCGTCTACTATTCATCGCACTAAAAAAGGTGTAATCAAAAGAGGAAATCAATGTTTCTTGATTCGTTCCAAAAGTAAAAACCTGAGTCTTTTTGGTCAGGTTCGAGTGGATTGTTTCACCCGAACTATTGGCTACCTTATGTTTTTAATTTTAGTCAGAAAACTTTTATAATGGCTGTGAATGTTGTAAATGATCACATGTTCGTTCTGACTCCATGCGCAATGTCAAAGCATCGCAGCGTATAACATTCGTATTTTGTGGTTGAGACTTCGTATTTTAGTCTGAAGCAGGTTATCTATCGCGATTCTTCTTTTTCTTACTGATCTTCGTAATTTCATCCAAGAATGCAAATTACTTAAGAAATTCTGAAGCACTGTTTCAACGAAGTTGATGTAAAGCTAACAAGACTGAAGGCGAACAACTGTGATTGGACTGATTCATTCACATGACCATACAGATCATAAACGGATTCGTTTTTTTCAAGCGTTCAGTCAGTCGTCATGGGTGTTTATTTGAGAGTGGGGATGTGGGTGCATTGTGTCATGAATCTTCCGGTCGCGCCACTTCTGCGGTCCGAATCTGAGCCGCACTTGTTTAGTTCTTTCATCGCTAGAGGCCATTGTGTTGTATTGTATGAACCAACTGCGATGGTCAGCGTAGATCAGCTGTGTATAGACGCATAGTTATTCATTCAGAATTCACCATTATGGTAAACCGTCACACTTTGGTTACGTTAAGGGAGGGTACTCTTTCGACGATTCAGAAACCATATTCGATATTCACTTAGTGATTTGTGCCAAATAAATGAACAACTTGACCGCTTTTAACTGCACCTTTTTTGTCATGTTCTGTCGGAATTGGACAGTGACGTCCGTACATGATGCATTCTGAATGCGATGAGACAAGTACCTAAACATGGATGTGGCCAGCGCAAGCAACATGTGGTGCACTGGTAACATTAAATGCTAATCGACCCACAAAATGCAATTATAGTAGCCAATATACCACGGATTTACCTTATACGACAGAATTGCTATTTCCTCCGATTTACGTTGTTATTGGTATTGTTAGTATTGTTATGGCGTTGGCACCAAGCTTGTTCTCAAGTCGGTGTTAAATATATATATATATCCTTTGTATGCTAGTTCTTTCGAATGCTGTGAATTCATCATCTCCTGATCAGTGTAATATCATAAAATTAGCTCTGACAAATAACAGTTATATTGTTTTACTTGTATTGCTTATTTCCTTGCAGTCCACACGTGAAACGGCAAACCGAGCTCTGATAGATCGAATCATCTATCTTCTGGAATCTTTGCATTTAGAAGTTCAGTCTGCCGGTAAGCAGATTAAAGATTGATTCAAACGTACTTTTGCTTTATTTTATACATTGATTTTTTGATTGATTCCAGTGCAATCATATGGAGCTACTACTGCCATGGTTTTCTCCCATCCGTCAATTGTAAAATGTACAATACCCGTGTCCAAGATCAACAATATTCATGACTTTGTGATCTCTCATTCACTCTGGCTCATTCTTTGTTTTAGAACACCGTTCCCCGTAATTCTATTCGTTTTCAGATTCTCTTTATGGTTATTCTTATTCTGTCGTTTGGTAATCTATCTAGTCAAGAAATGAATAAGAGAGAAAGAGAGAAATTGAACAAAAGACTAAGTGAGTGTTACCATGATAAGAGTGTGGATTTTGAAAACCAAAATCAGATAATGGATCGACCCCACTGGTTCCTCAAACAGGCAGGTATCGATTAAGCTGCTCCCGTGGTCTCCAGTCACGAATCGCAACATAATCTGTCCGACCAAGTTTGTTCCTTTTCTGCTTACGCACACACACTCACCTTGTGTCTTTGTGTACCGGTTTCAGTTACTGTCACAGTTTCCATGCCATCTTATTTGATCGTTTATTCATCTCAGTTGATCTCGTTTGAACCACCTGTATGCTTTGGCAGAAGTCCAGCACACAAGAGTTTGATCTACTCACTGTCATATGCCTAATCTGTAATCAGTCGTTTATCCAGTTGATGGATGCAACTGAAAAAAAAAAAAAATAAAACTGATTTCAGCCGTTTCATTTTATATGTTTAACTGAACAAGAAAATTAACATGGATTAGTCACCGCTTTTTCTCGATTTATACTTCCTATTCTACCCTTTTTTCAGATGCTATTTCTATGGTAATCAATACATCATTGTCATTCTCGTGTCTTGCCGACGATTAATGTGGAATTGTTCACCGTACAAATAAATAGTAATCCACCATGAATTCCATTTACCTCAATCCTTTCTCTAATCTTTTTAGGTTATTTCTGGTAAATCTTTGATTCTAGCGACTGATATTTCAAATCTAAAGTAGTGGTAAGTAATACATATATGCGGGTAGCATTTCCATTGGGACATGACCGCTATTTTGAGTTTTGTCGCTGATCATACATGTGTATCTGTTACTCCTTAGTTATACTTGTACTCCCAATGTTTATTTCACCACGAAGTCATGCGTTTTTACACTCGCATTCTTTTCGAAATAACTCCCTTAGTTGGAAATGCGGATCCTGTGACAAAGTTCAGACATTATTCCAGCACTAATAACCTGTCCTCAGGAGTTATCACTGTTGTTGTACCCGATTGTTTACTGTATATCACAATAATTGTGCGATCAAACAACGGTGTGATACGGTTTGTACTAGTTCTTCCGTTTTTCATCGAGGCACAATAATGCAGCACATTGTTTTTGGCGAACTGATCGTAGATTCATTCTTCGTGAAAAACTCTATTTCGTCTAAATCCAGATGCGTTTCCTTGTGATTCGAGCGCACTGGATGAGCTCCCTACTGGGCACCAATAGAATCTACTTATCTGTACTTTTTTTCATTAACCATGACAAGTTTAAATAAGGCTAAATCCCTTCCTTCTATTCTGCAGTGATCGAATTGGTTCGAGATCTGATGCATTTTGATATTGCCGATGACATTCTCGCGGCCCTGGTCGCATTGTTACGTCCACAACGGGAGATTCAATTGGGGAAATTGTTCACCGAGGCGGCCTCAAGTTCCGATTTCAGTTCAGCTTGTTCGGACAGCGAAGACAGTGAAGGTTAGCACATCTCGATGTCATCTGTTGTTTTCGATTCGAGTGAAATCAGTCACGCACTTTATTTTACAATTTTCCCAGTATTCAACCCACGGAGAAGGGTTTGTAAGACACGAGCTGTAAAAACAGGTAGGGAATCAGTTTGTGTGATCATATTTATCTAGGGTTTACAAACAGTCAATAATCGCTGGTTCTTTGATAGGAAACTGCCGGATGTTATAGGGAACGGTAGGGTTGTAGCCCATCGTGGTGCGAGTGTACGGTGACTTTATTGCAGGTTACTAATGTGGGAGTGAAACAACAGAGACGGGTGTGGAAGATTTGTGACCGATCGAGTAGTACTGTTTTTTAAACAGCTGAATGAAATGTGTTAATTATAAACTCGAAATACCCGTAAACCTCAGAACCAAAGCACACCAGTGCCGGTGACTTAAATCGTTTGACCACTACAATCCGTGCACAAAATGGTTCAGTCTCCCCTTGTTGTGTGATGATTGTGCATCTACTCAACGGATGTTGTCGCTTATTTGATCATGTACCTGTATACCATTGTGAGTGTTGTTGTTTTCCCTTCTCTAGGTAAACTACAAAAGATTACAAACAAAACTGGAATACTACCATCTACGGGTTGTCCTTGTCTATATTATACTGTTTAAAATACACCTGCATGCCAGCCAATCCGACCGAAAGTGGGTAACCGATTGAATAATATCACACGGTGTATACCGGGAAAGGTCTTCGTTTGACACCGCACGAGATTTGTATATCTGGTTTGTAATTTATCCATGTGTGTTACGGGTATCGTATTATCAAACTGATGCAAACTGATCCGGAAATTTGCTTTCCTCAGGTTCCGATTCACATCCACATAGCGGGAAATCGGCAACTCCACATGGCCCGGCAGACAACAATCATCCGACCGGTAAAGAGGATAAATTAGGCACCGCGGGTACCGGTCGCAAGCCGAAAATCACATTCCCAGGAAAAAAATCCCCGATAACCAAACGTTCCAAACGTCCCGTACAGGGTATTTCACCTGTGCGTGGATCTGTACGCACCTCGACTAATCGCGTTGCCGGGACACATCTGAGTCGGTCCGGATCAGCTCAGCCGCATTCCGGATCGGTTCAACAGACAAGAAAAAAGCAT